GACAACTGAAGGCTACTTCAGACTTTCAGAACGTGGACAAGAAACAGAAAGCATAGTAAAAGGAACACTAACAGTGGCGGTCCAATTTTGTCACTTCCTGACTAGCTTCAGTCCCTCCTCTGCAAACTGTCAGTAACAGCATATTTTCCAATAATAACAATAGCTATAGACTATTGATAGAGTGGCTGCCACAATGGGCTCTCGCAGAACAACTACTGTGAGGACGGTGCAGGGCTGGGCAGTGTTTTGCTCTGTTGGGTATAGGTTTGCAGTGAGTTGGAACAGACTCGATAGCATTTCACAATAACATAATTTACTGAGCACCCACCAGGAGCCAAGTACTTGCATGAAATGTTTTGCACATATTAACTTGGGTAACACTAGTAGCATTAAAGAAGGGAATATCATCCCCATCTAACAGCTAAGAAATCTGGAGCTCAAAGAAGAAACTGGTCCAAGGTTACACAGAGGCAGTGCCAAAGGTTTTTTTTCTTTCTTTCTCATTTTTTTTCTTTTTTTCTATTGATCATTTTATTGGGGGGCTCTTACAAATCTTCTGACAATCCATCATTCAATTGTATTAAGCACACTTATACATATGTTGCCATCAACCTGTCCAAAACATTTTATTTCTGCTTGAGGCCTTGGTATCCAGGCCTTTTATGCCCTCCCTCCCACCCTCATGAATCCGTGTGCCAAATTCCCCTCTCCCTGGTTATTTTTCAGTCCCCTGAGATGTTCTGCCAGGCTTGTTAGTTCTACTTCCATAAAAATGAAATGCTTTAACAGGAGCAAATGAAGGTGGAGGAAGAGACAGTGGAGCACATCCTGGTCCACCAAGCCTTGAGGACAATATCCCTGCTCAGAGCAGCCAATGCACAGGGAGGACCAAATAGCTGGCCCCACTACGAGACACTACATCGTTCACTGACAATACTGGAGACACAGTGTGGGAATTGCGCCCGATCTGACCCCATCACACTGAGGCAAAACACTAAGGGCTTGCAACAGAACAGCAAGAGGAGCAGAGCAAGGAAATCCTGAGAGAATATCAAAAATAGACTTTGGCCCCAAATGGGCGTGGCATCCCATCAGA